TTGGTTTTTTATGAGACAGGGTTTCTCTGTATTGTTTTGGAGGCTGTCGGTCCAGCCTGGCCTCGAACTCACAGAGATCCGCCTGCCTCTGCCTCCCAAGTGCTGGGATTAAAGGCGTGAGCCACCACTGCCCGGCTAGATGTTTCTCTAAGGGACTTTGTGAACAAGGTACACACAGGCTATGGATGACAATCTGCTTTCCTGAAAGACAATTAATTGAAGCACTAATCACATGTCATACATGCGTACATACATACATACATACATACATACATACATACATACATACATATACATTCTTAACACATCCAGCTTAGTATTTGACAGAAACCACCAGGCACCATGGTCTAGGCAAGTTGACACTTTACACTTCCTGTACCAGGAATGGCATCTGCATGGGCACCTCCTCCAGATATTTTCAATAGCGTATTTCAAAGAACAAAGAGTTTTACGTCAAACAGCTCTGTTAGATTTGTTGTGTCAGCATACCACATCGAGACAACCTGATACTCCTGTTCCAATCTGACAGTTTTCTAATAACGGTTTAGCTATTCTTTGAGAATGTTGTGAAATGGAGTTTGATTGTATTTATCTGCCACCCCAGCTCCTCCCAGATCTGTCCTCAACCCTCCCTACCTATCCAGCTTTGTGTTATCCCCTCTTTCTTTAAATTCTTCCAGTTGATATTGGTTCCTATGTGTAAGTCTGCCTTAAGGTAGTACCCCATTGGAGGAAACCAACTTTCCCTTTCTCAGCAGCAGCCAAATACCAAGAGCTCCTTTGCTAGGGGTAGCACGTCTTCATTCCTACCTTCCCTCCCTCATCATTTCTGCCATTTTTATCTAACAAAGTGATGTGATGTTCTCATAGCAACAAGTGCAGAGCCTACTGATGCTGTTATTGGGATCGTTGCTTGAGTATGATTGAATGTCTTCTCTGTACACTTACTTTCTTCCCTATAATGTAAAATCACTCTGTTGCTAGGTAGTTTGAGTTCACATAAACCCTGCAGTCATCAAGCTTGGCACATGGGTTTAGCATCTGTGTCTGTTTCTTCTAGGACCCCATTGAACCTATCATATGTCCAGAATAATTGTTTTTTACTCCAACATTTTCCTCTAAATCCCCTTGTCCCTGACACAGTTCAGGAATATTTATATACTTAATTGAAGTATTTGTGTAGAACTTCCTCTTTCATCAATGATTCATATTAGTCGTAGTTTGTATTTCTCTGTACTTAAATTGTCCCACATTTGACCACTGGAGACACTCAGGCCTTCTTTGATTTTCTGACATAACAAGGTGTCTTCATTTCATCTTTCTTCTTCCCAGCCTCAACCCCATAGTCTAACATGTCTCCAGAATATACATTCCTTTCAACCTAACTGAGAAAATGCATCCATCAGATTGGCCTGCAGGCAAGTATGTGGGGCATTTTCTTAATTAGTGATTGATGTGGGAGGGGCACAGCCCACCGTGGGTGGTGCCACACCAGGCCAAGTGGTCCTGGATTGACAAGGCAAGAGACGTGCACTGGCACTCTGAGCTCCTTCAGGGCCTCGGCTTCAGTTACTGCCCCGACTTCCCTTCCTGGTGGACTGTAAGCAATAAGATGAAATAAGCTCTTTCCTTGCCTTGTCACTTTTAGTCCGGGTGTCTGTCACAACAACGGGAAGCAAACTAGGACATGTATTTCAGAAAGAAAGACTTCAAAATTTGTTTTGGGTAACTTTGGATTCTGTTCCAACCTCATAAAATATTCTACTCATATATTATTGAGAAGGCTGTCTCTCTTTCCATTGACGAGGGGATGTTATTCAGCTGACACACAGTTGGAGTTCTTTGTCTCAGATTTCTTTCAGTTTTTCCTTCTTCTAACTTCTGACTTAGCTATCTTCGCCTCCTTCCTAAGTCGGCATGTACCAGAAGTCAAATTAGAAAAGAGAGCACAGATCATGTCTTTCCTTTCCACTTTCTCTTGTTTCTCCCACATTTTGTAGCTGACCAATTTCACTGTCTTCTGGTCCCTGAGTTTCCCATGCCAATACAAGCAGCACACATAACTTCCAGTACTTCTCCTTTTTTCCCTTGCACCTAAGTAGTGTACTATAATGCTTTTTTTGAAGTTTGTTATTTATGCTTAACAATATTTTAAAGAAATGACTTCATATTAATTAATGAAATACTTCCTCAATTATTTCCTAACTCTACCACTATTTCATTGGGTTTACTTGCCATTTGTGGTAGTTTGAATGTAATTGGCTTCCATAAGTTCATAGGGAGTAGTATTATTAGGAGGTGTGGCTTTGTTGTTATAGGTATGGCCTTGGAGGAGGAAGTGTGTCACTGTGGAGGTGACCTTTGAAGTCTCATATACACTCAAGGTACACAATTTAGTTCACTTCCTTTTCCCTGCTAATCAAAACGTAGAACTCTCAGCTCCAATACCATGTCTGTCCCCAAGCCACCATATTCCATGATGATGACAATGAGCTAAGCCTGTGAAACTGTGGTGCCACCTCTGGCCAGGTAGTCCTGGATTATATGAATAGGCAAGCTGAGCCTTTAACCTTTATAAGAGTTGCCATGGACATGGTGTCTCTTTACAGCAATAGGAACCCTAACTGAGACCATTGTTTCTGTATTCAACTAATCTAAGTGTGGACATATAGATACTTTCTACTATTTTGCAGTTATAAATAAGGACAGCATCTATAACCTTTGGCATAATGGTGTTTGCATTGTTAGATCATATCTGGCAGTAAATTCTCATGAGTGAGTTTTCTGGATAAATGTATATGTGGTTTAGACAGAAGTTGTATGGTAAAGTGGCATGGGGGCAAGGATTTGGTTGTGGATAGTACATATGGCTGTAGATCAGTAATAGAATGTGCATGAAAGGAAATTTGGTATATCTACAAATGAAGATATAAAGGTCATTTCCTTATAAACAAATCACTTACTATTTTCATGGTTGCCCAGAAGACCCTTTGGTAGCATCCCCTTCAATCTGCCTCTTCATTGCAAGAGTGGGATGCCTTCTTCAGCTACTCTGATGTGGGGCATTGTCCATGAACCTTACCTTCCTAAGAAAGATCCCATGTATTTTCCAAGTCAGTACAACTAGCCTTATCAGCTATTCATCTATTTTGGAAATACTTTGAATATTATCTGAATCTATAGAAAATTCTTTATTCTTTTCCTTCTTTGTGGTTTTTTTTTACCAGAACAATAGTTTCCACTATTTTGCATCAAAGTAGGCTTTTTTATTTATTCTTTGAAAATCTCTTACATGTATATACAATGTATCTTGATGATCCTCCCTCCTTACATTCCATGCTCTGACTGTCCTATGCCCCTCAGTGAATCTACTTTTTAAAAAATAATACACTAAGTGTGATTACTGCTTCCCATATGTATGTAAATATGGGACCATCCACTAGGACATGATCAACCTACCAGTGACCACACTGACCCCCAGGAAAAATGACTGTTCTTCTCTCTGCAGCCATGAACAACCAATGACCCAAGTTGTAAATAGATTTTGGTTTAATTAATCCCAATAGTAAAATGTCCTTTGTTATGCCAACTTACTGTGGATTTTACCTGTGTTAAGGGATAAAATAAATGTCATTTTCTATTGTGTCTCTCACCACAGGACATATTGTTTAAGAGAAAAACATTCAGCTAATATATTTTGGGTACCATTTCTGGCTCAAGATGTTTCAAAACAATGGTTCTCCAAATGGTTAAATGACATGTTTGCAAATGGAAATAATATCATTGCAAGTTCATATAAAACAGATACAGATTACCAGTGCCATCTGGAAGGAATATTTATTTTGTCTAGCTGGAATGATCAAAAGTTGTCATGGAGGAGAGAACACTTGACAAGAATTTTGAAAAATGAGGGTTTTAGCAGACATGCAAAAATGACTCACAGAAAATAGAGTTTTATTATTCTCTCTATGCTAGGATGTGGCAAATCTGACTTGACACATTTTGATTGTAATTTTTAAAAGTGAATGCTTCAGCTATGCATAATGTCTTTTAAAGGCTGCAATTACATTCTTGCTTTACTACACACAAAATAATAGCTATGGCTTGGTGTAGTTGTACTTGGTACTTTACAGGCTGAGTCAGGGGGACTAGGAATCTAGGCCCAGTTGGGTTGAAAAGTGAGACCCTGTCTCAGAAAAATCAGTATCAAAAATTAAGTTGGGCTTTCCAGATAATCATGATTTAAAAGAAATTATTTGCAAAAGCAATGAAGCATGAGCGTTAGACTAATTATCATTGACATTTTGGTTTTCATATGTTTATGTGTGTTGTTTGCATGTATGATGTGTGAACTGATTCATATTTGTGTATGTGCTCATGAAGGTAGACTCCAGAGGCACAGTTTGAGAGAGAGAGAGACAGAGAGAGACAGAGACAGACAGACAGAGACAGAGACAGAGAGACACACAGAGAGAGAGAGAGAGAGAGAGGCTGAACTCCCCAGTCTGGATAGTCAGACTAGCCAGTTTAATTTGGGCATTTCCTTGTCATCACCTCCTGAGGAATCTGAAGTCAATTTCATACACTGGCTGGACAAGGGCTTCACTCACTCAGCCCTTCCTTAGCCCCATGTCTGAAATACTGAGGAGAAAATGAAGCATAACCTATCTTCCCTTAACAAAACTCTGTTTTACAGAACTTTCCTTGAAAGAATTGTTAATTTAAGACACTTTGATATTAAGCAATTTAATTTTTTCCTCTGGTTTTTCAAAACTCTAATTGAAAATGGGGGCTAGGCATCATGGAAGTAGGATTGAATTGGTTTCTTGTAAGTCTTCTAGAATGGTTTCCTGTGTCTGTTTTCCCTGTGTAAAATAGAAACTATACTTGTAAAAGGCATTTACGAAATTGATTGACTAGTGTCTAAGTTGAACTACCATGGAAATTACCTTCTGTGCCACTCAATTAATAACAAGAGTATTAATGGAACAGACTATGAATGATTTAAAATGGTTCCTGATGTTTATTTACTTTTTCCTCTTTCTTCTTTTTTGCTGTTGGTTTTGAGGATCAAACCTAGGCAATTTCAGTCAACAAGTCCATTCTTCATATGCACTTAGAAAATAAATAGATGCTTTTCAGAATAATAAGGTCCCATTATTAACTGCTGATCTTAGTGCCCATATTGTCTGTGCTTTATTCAGAAAGTCTTCTCTTGTGCCCATGAATCAGGGCTGTTCCCCACTTTCTCTTCTATCAGATTCGGTGTATCTAGTTTTATGTTAAGGTCCTTTAATCTGTTTGGAGTTGAGTCTTGTGCAGGGTGAGAACTGTGGAACTATTTACATGCAGACATCCAGTGTAACCAACACCATTTGCTGAAGGTGCTGTCTTTTTTCCCACTGTGTGTTTCTTGCATCTTTATTAAAAAATCAGGTGTCCATAGGCACATGGATTCTTGTCTGGGTCTTCAATTTGATTCCATTGATGAATGGACGAAAAAGAAATAGAAACTGAAAGTTTGAAACAGTATTTTTCCAATCTGTCTCTTTATCTAATATAAACCCTTATAAACAGTGTCTCCTTTCTTCTTCCTCAGAGACTAGCAGTACAAAAGCCACACAGCAGGATGGCATTTTTAGTTTACTGTTTCTCAGTGAGAAAAGGGCTAGTATATGATGGAGCAATGGCACAATAGCCATTGCTGTCTTGAAGATATCACTTGGCACTTGCACATTTGTCCTTCTTGGGATACAATAGTATCAAGAAGTGAAATACACATGTGCTGTTGCTATGCCATCAGTTAGCCTTAATAACTGTTACTTTTTAAGCACACAAAAAGCACCTGGGAGGCAGAGGCAGGTGGATCCCTGAGTTTTAGAACAGCCTTCTCTACAGAGCAAGTCCCAGGACAGCTAAGGCCACACAGAGAAACCCTGTCTTGAAAAAAGAACAAGATTTTAATTTTTGTCCTGTTGCTCTTTTGTCAACCAGTGATTGAGTACCTACCACACATCAGTCAAGACCCCATGTTTGGAGATATGGCTGTGTCTTGCTTTTAAAAAGCTTGAATTTTGGTGAGGAGAGAGACAATATGCAAACGAAGTAAAATAATATAATAATTGCTATGTAATGGGAAGAAATCTCATGGTAGTGCCCTAGTGTTGTCTAGCAGAGCAGTCAGCAATGGCTGAGCTTTCCTTGATCTCCTGTGTGGTCATCAGTGCCTACTTTGTGATGGAGTAAAAGCATCATCACTCTGATGCTGTTCTGACATAAGCCCTTCCTTATTGTATCCACTTTGAGTCTCTGATTCCTCAGTTGCTTTTCTAAAATTACTTACAACCACAATATTCACATCACATTTGTAAAAGTTATTGTCATAATTTGCTCAAGAAAATGATCAAGGACAAAATGGGTAGCCCAGGGCCCACAGCAATAACTACTACTTTATAGGGTGTGAGTGGGGGATGTTCTGTGTTCTTACACCATGCTGCACTTGAGGTCCCGTGGATATAATTCTGCAACATCGCGTGAGGATTTGCAGGTGTGGCATGCTGAGTTTACTTACGTCTATTTAAAAAATATACTCTGTGTTCTAAGTCCTTAGAGTGGAAAAAAAATAAGATTCTGAGGCTTATATCAGCTTTTTGTGTTTGTGATAAGCAAGTAACAAATAGCTCTTTTTAGAAGCTTGTTTGTGTCTTACTTTATTACTATCCTCCTGGATAATTTTTCCTTCCAATGGCAATTAATTTGAAGGCAATCTAGGCATAAATTCACTAGAAGGGGAAGTCGTAGATTGAACTAATTTTGCAATACATTTCAAATATTAGAGTTATGTGGAAAATCCATTCAGAGAAGGGAAGACATTTAATTTCTCACATGTAGACGAAAAGGCAAACTAATTAAGTATGGTTTGATAAGGCTAAAATATAGCTGATTTACAGTAGGAGTGAGTGTTTTATGCTTGAGGCCGGAAGCTCACTACTATTTTAGCTTGTTGTTTAGAAACTGCTGTTGAAATAGTTGAAAATGTCACTAACCTGGCTAGAGCTCTGCATTCATGAACAGCACAGTTAGTTTCTAGGAAAGATGCTCATCACACAGTATTCAGTATTCTTTTTTATTATTTATATCCTTTATTATTATATACCTGCAAGTAACACAAAATTAAATTTCCATTACCTTTCAACAGCTAGTAATTATTTTTTCTTCTTTGTGCTTATTTTTTTTTTTTCATTTTAAATTCAACCCCAGTTCCCCTTCCCTAATAGTTAAGATCTCCTGGGTAAATTGGGAGGTGAGTAGCAGAGAGGGGATGGGGGATGGGAACATGAGGGAACCAGAAGGCTGAGTTGGAGGAGTGATGGATGGGGCTATCAGTGAAAGATATCTTGACAGAGGGAGCCATTATGGGGTTAGGAAGAAATCTGGTGCTAGAGAAATTCCCAGGAATCCATAGGGATGATACCAGCTAAGACTCCTAGCAGTAGTGGAAAGACTGAATGGCCTTCCCCTTTAATCAGATTTGTGACTGCCCTAATTGTCATCATAGAACCTATATCCAGTAGTGAGTATTTATAAACAACACTGGATTGTTCTCATGGAAGAAATGTTGTGGTGATTCATCTGAGGGTCAGGAATAAAGAAACCAGGAAGGTTGTCTAAGAGCCAATTAATTTCCTACTTTTCAAAAAGAATGCCTATGTTGAAGATACTATCTCTGAGATGCATGTATCTTTCTGGACTTTTAGTTTACAGGAGGCACTGTAAACTTCACTCTGAGTAACACACACATTCAAAATTTAAGAAAAGGAGTTAATCACTTAATAATTCTATGTCTTTTGAGTGCTGCATTGGGGCAGGGAGAAATGAAAACAGAACATTAAGGGATTGTACCACACAGGTTTTCCCTTTCAAAATCAATACACAGGTTTGGAGATATGGCTGCCAGTAAAGTGCCCACCATGCAAGCATAGAGACCTGAGTTTGGATTTGAAGAACTTACAGAAAATATAGGATGTGATGATGCCCTTATAATTCCAGCAATGCTGAGACACCAATAGGAGCGTCCCTGGAACTTGATGGGTAACAGCAAGTCTTGCCAAATTTGTGAGCTCCAGGTTCAGTAACAGACCCTGTCCCTAGGAATGAGTCAGGGAGAGACTGAAAAACACTTGGAATCTTCCACATGTAGCCACCCCACCCATACACACATGTATATCACACATGTGCATGCACATGCGCATGTGTGCAAACACCAATTTAAAACCAAGATGAGCATTGCTTGTGATAAAAATCTTCTAAGGCTAGTTGATTCAACTGTCTTTGCTTTAACTTCCTATGCCTTATGTCACACGTGACTGAGAACACAATAGCATTAGTCTAATCAGAAATTTCATGTGTTCCTTCAGATCGTCACATATAAAAACCAATGCTACCCTTTACCCATTATTGTTTGGAATGCCCTTTCTCAGAAACTCACATATATTAGCTATGCATGCAATAAACCAGGCTTATTACTTTAATGTTATAGCTTTAATTATCATCCAAAATGTTTCTAATGGGATTATCACATAATAGTTAGACTTGAATCCAAATGGCATTCAGTCATTGGGAAAATAAGCGGAGGAAGTTTGTCTCCCAAAGAAGAACATGTGCTTAATTTTGGTTAATTATTGTTAAAATTTGGTCAATTATTTTGAAGAAATGACCATTTCTATACAGTCACACAGAAAGTGGTATGAAAAAGGTTCATTCACAAGTAGTCAGACACTGATTTTATTTCAAGTCAACGACTCAAATATTTGCATTATCTGAAAATTTAAGTAGACACAATTGTTATTAAAAGCATAAGTGATACTGACAAGGAGGATTGGGTGTGGCTTTAGCGTTTGAACCAAACACCAAGTGCATCCAGCAGGACGGGTGACTCTGCCTAAATCTTGCTTGATGCCCTGTTAAGCATTCTGCTGGTCTCTCTGGGCCCTAGAATTTACTCAGTTGTCTTTGATACTTGTTTACATTTGTGACACAATATTTAAGTAAAATGAAAGCTAAAGCAATACACTTTTTACTTTGGTTTTAAGGAGGCAATGAACTAGCTAGAATTAATATTCTAAAGAAAAATTCTGCCTTTCTCCCTCAAAGGATGTCCTATCTCCTGGTCTTAGACCTGTCATCATCGTCCCACTTGGTTTGTGACCCTCCCCATGTTAACTAACTCCCATCTCTCTTGCCTTGCCCTCCCTTCCGCTTGACTTTCCCATGGACGTTATTACTTTCCAACAGTCTACCTCGTCCTTATGGTTATTATTTTATATATGGATATAAAATCCCTATAGCCATGGAGTTTCTCATTTTTTTCCATCATGGGGTTATGGTAGCATGTGTGTCACTTGATAGGCATAACCAAGGATTTATTGGTTAATGGACATATTTTAATTTTTAACAATTAGTTTTAGCAGAACTTGCAGACACACTGACTTCAGCTACTTTGCTCCTTGGTTTGGACTCTGTTTTTGTTGCTTGTCTTCCATCATCTTTGGAAAGACCTGTTCTTAGGTTTAATGTTTATCCCCTCAGGCTCTCTTGACTTTCAGTTGCAGAGACCTAGGAATTTTTTTCCCAACCTAATACTATGCTATGCTTGCATTCCCACAGCCTGTATCACACTCCAGTGACACCCAAAATTATTTGATGGTTTTCATTCTTTAGTTTTGAATTTTTTGTATCATTTCTTAAGAATTTGACCCAGGTACACAATAAATTTTGATCATATTCACCCATGCACACCTCTCCAGTGCACACTGCTCCTGCAACCCTTCCCAATGACCCTCTTGCAAATTTAAGTCCTATTTCTTTTCATTTAACACTGAATCAAAATGTAGTGCTACCTACATATGCATGGGTGTGAAGCCATCCACTAAAGATGACAATTTGTATAATATTTATTGTCAAGACATTTGGACATTTTAAAATAATAGCCATTTTTATAGAACTGTGCAAGCATCAGTACTAGTACTGTATTTTATCACAACAAATGTTGATGTGTGAATAAATTTTAGTATACAAGAGGTATGCTCTTTACAGATTTTATATATTGATTTCTGATCCTACTTTGCAATTATAATATGGGTACGAAAAAACATTTGCATGTAATATACAGTAGCTGATTTTGCATAAAATTTAAAAACAAATGTGTATCTGAGATTGGAATAAAATAAATTTAATTTTGTCTATGGCTGCAAAATTTATAATCCTTGATCTTACCATGAAAGGTGTGGGAAAAATGATCTATTCAAGGCCTTTCCCATGTGGATTCATTTAGTGAAACTTTACTAGCAAGAGCCTGTAAAATGCTAATCAGCTGCATTTCTCACCAGTTTAGGCCTAACTCTTTGTTTGCTTCTGGCTTTGAGATAACTTTGAATAGGCAATGTAGTGTCACCATGGGTAATGAATGATGCATGTTAGAAATAGTGACATTAAATCCATGTATTTCTCTTAAAGGGGTCAATTTACACATGACTACTGGCTTACATTTTACCAGCAATTATGGATCATGTCTTTCCTATATAAATGATAGGAAATCTGTTTTAATCAACATTAGTTTTCATGAGATTGTAAATTCCTTAGTCTGCATTAACAATGGCTACCACTTCAAGAAAAGAAACATTAATGGGAAATAAAGATAAAACTGTAGGGAAAATAGTTTTTTTTTAAGTTAAATGTCTTGGAAGAAATTCATGGAAATGTTAGCAATGTACGAGAAGCATAATAGGACTCTGAATCCTGGCAGATTTGCACATTAGAAGTGTATTCTGAACATATTGTTATAAACTCGAAGACTAGTACTTCTGAGATCGTCAGGTATTATTCCTGTACAGGTGATTACCAATGTATCATAGTTCTGTCTCCTCCCTTTAAATACTTGCCTTCTGATTTTAATCCTATGGAATTACAATTTGAAACACTATTATTAATTTTTCCCATCTAGAATAATTTAATGATTCATTGGGGTAACATAACAAGAGCTGGGTAATGGATGGCACTAGAAGAAACCATCTTGAGTGAGGTAACTCAGTCACAAAAAGAGAAACATGGTATGTACTCACTCATTTATGGATTTTAGACGTGAATCAGGGGAGTGCCAGCATATAATCCCATTGCCAGAGAGTCTGGGAAACAGAACCTTCATCCCAAGACTGATGGAAGCAGAGGCAGACACCCATAGCTAAACACTGAACTGAACTCCTGGAATCCAGTTTTCAGATAGGGAGAACTGATAAGAAAAGAAGTTAAGACTGGGCTGATTTAACCCACAGAAACAGTTGACCTGAACAAGGGGGAGCTCTTGGACCCCATATTGATGGCTGTGTGGAAAGCATGGGACTGACCCAGACCCCCTGAAGGTGGGTGTCAGTGAGGGGGCCTAGGTAATCTCTAGTGGCTTGGGGAGTATTTATCCCTGGCATACAAATAGACTTTGAGTGCCCATCCCACAATGAGGGAAGCTCTGTCAGCCTGGACTCTTGTCGGAGGGCCTAGACCCTACCCTGGATGAAATGACAGACTCTGGAGATCCACCATGGAGGGCCTCACCCTCCCTGGGGATCTGAGTGGAGATTGGGTGGGGGAATGGGGGGCCTGGTGGGGAGTGATGGGGAGGGAGAGGAAGCTGGGACTGACATGTGAAACAAGGTTGTTTCTAACTTAAAGAAAAAAAAAAGGAAAAAAATCCCAAATGGAATATAAAAAAAAAAAAAATACTCTCGAGCTCTTGACCAGAAGAAAAATGCCTGAAACATAGTATCCTTGACTGATGAACCCACCCATCTACTTCATGTTGTCTAGTTCAACATGATAGGGACCCAGTCATGCAACAAGGCAGTGTGCTATCTGTATTGTTTTCCTCACAAAACTCAGGTAAATGCTAAATTTTGCATGAGAATCCTATCCAGTGTCCCTAAATCTGCTCTCCAATTTTCCCTAACTAGTGTTTTACATATTTTTAAATCTTCCTTTGTCTTTCTCACCATGGTGCCTACACCTTTCAGTTCATGCCTTTGTTTTGTGCATCCTGTAGGAGGAAATGATCAGGCAGGAAGTAATCAACAGGAAGCAAACCATCATTAATGCTCTGTTCCACATTTAGTCCCCTTCCGGGTCAATGCTGTTTCAACATTTACTAACTCTGAGACCTAAGGTGGTGCTTATTTCTTTTGTGTCTGATGTACAGTGCTGGTAACTATGTCAGCCTTTCAAAGTTAGTAATATGTTGCATCAATTCAAGAAACATAGCAAAATTAATTATTCATATATCAGAAAAAGATCTAACATGTAGCAAAAATAGTTGTAAGCCATCCTCATGATTTTCGTCTAGTACATTCTCCTGTTAGAAAAAGTGTCTGTTCTTCTAACTGTCCTGTCTTCTAAAAATACTGGCTTTCTATTTCCTTATCTTTCCAACCTATCATTCTCATTTTTTGTACCTCCTACGGTTACATGAATAGATACTAAAACGTTCTATCTCCCAAATGTTACCTCCTCTGTTTACTAATCTCCACTCTTAGCCTGATTCTCTGTGAAGACTTTGAAATATAGAATAAGGCAGAAAACAGCCCATTGCTTTTGGCCATGTGGATGGAGAATACTCTTCCTTCTCATCAGCTCTCACTGAAATACTCTACACCATAAACTACCACCCCATGCTTGGAGCCTTTTATTCCTTGGCTTCATCAATCTGCTGATTTCCCCCCATCCTTTTGTTTCCAGGTTAATAATTCTCTACTTCTGTCTTTTGGAGTTTTCTTTGTCTCTTATTTTGCACTGCCTCCTCATGGAAGCTCCTTTAGTGCCTGGGTCCGACCTGTATCAGTCCTATATCGAAAGGGCTATCTATTCCAGATGTCTTTGGGGCTGTGATGAGAACCAGCTGAACAGCCCTGGTTCTGACCCTGAATGGGTAAGTGTGGATGAAGGAAAACCTAACAACCCAATGATGTTAAGGACGAGACAGAGACATCAGGTCATCTCAGGAGGGCTCTCAGTCAATATATTCTGGAGACCATGTTTTTTTCCTGCATCATCTTAAATAACTCTCCAAAAGCAGGGGGTGGGTGGGCTGTAACTGGCAGAAGACATATTTTATCATCTATAGAGCTGATATCAAATATGTCCCTTAATCCTAGAGACACTCCTAAAACTGCATGTACTCACTAGCCTTCAGGCAAATCTCACTAGCCCTCAGGGTGGGTATGGATTCACCCAGGGCCTAGGTCTTTTGTTACACAAATTAGGAGTCATTCTCCACCAGACCTGGCCATCTCGAGGTAACCAGCTGACCTCTAAAAAACAATAGAAGTTCTGAGCTCCTAGAATTCTGGGTTTGAGGTGAGGCATATTTCTAAAATATGACATTAGTCCCGACACTTTAGTGCCAGGGATTAAACTGGACGTTTTCCTTCTTATTATTCTCTTATGACAGCTATGTAAGTTATGATGCACTTCAACTTCTCTGCTTTTTCAGCTCATCAGTTCCACGAGAGAAGACCCTGAGGATGTTTTTCTGTGTCGATACCATGTATGGCCCTTTATGGGCATTTAACATGTTAGTCAATGAACAACAAACATGTAAATCCATGAATCAATATGTATTATAAATAACACGACTTCTTTGATTTCATCTGAACTTAAACTGTCAAGGTGTTCTATCAAATAGTATAGCAAACACATATCATCTAGGATGGATGTGTGATCTAGGATGGATTTGTGTCAAAATATTATTTCTTCTACCTCGCTCTCTGCCATATATAAATTTTATTCCAGTAGAGTGCTAACAGTTTGAAGAAACTTGACTTAACTTTTAATTTTGTGGTTAATTCCTGCCTAATTTTGGTCAAGTTGTTTAACACCTCTGACCATGTCTATAAAATAAATATCTACTCCTGTGAGATTATGGTTAGCATTGCATTGGATATCATGTCTAAAGTGTAAGGAATACAGACATTCCTTGTGAATGTGAGCTTGCAATTCTAAATATCCAAGATACAATCTATAGCACAATTTTCTAGCATCTTCATACGAAAATCACATATATTCCAACTTTTAGGCTAAAATGTTGTGTGAGGTAAAAATAAATCAGAGGAGGTGTTTCATGTCCTGTCTTTATCCAGAGAGCTTAATCAAAACATAAAGTGCAAGGCCTCCACCACTGATCTCTGATTAAACTTCTGCAATGACCCCAGAAATTTACATTTTGATCAAACCTACCAACCAAAGCAGGTGTTCTGTTAATGCCACTTTGAAGACCAGGGTCTCAACATAATCCACTTTGGAATGTGGTGTTTTCAGTCCCAAACTCCACATATTTGTCAAATTGTAGAAGTCAACAGTGATAAATGAGACTGTTTCCTCAAAGGGTGCATTTATTTTCTTCTGGATTGTAGGATTATTCAGGATGCTTTATGAAATAAATTTAATGCTGGAATTAGAAGATATAAGAGCAGTTCCTTACCCCAAGGCACTGTGCATCAGACCATGCTATAAGCTGCACATAAATCTCAGCTCTTACACCTGTGCGTGCTTTTGTATTTGGCAAGGAACTCCATATACCAATGAGACGTGATATTATAAATGTAGATGCACTTCAGAAATAATGAGTTTTCAGGAAGAAAATCCACTATTATTCATTGGTGTGACATGCGGGCTTACATTTTATTAAGGGCATTCTTTAAGGAGGCTTTTCTATAGAGAGCAGCAGCCATGAGAGATGAAATGATCAGGAATAAAACAATGAAAAAGTGTTGTAAACAAAAGACTTTATGTAACTTTTAAAAATTTAAGAAAGTCCTAAACATCTCTTGATAAATCTTTTACCATATACAATGCTACTTGTAAGTGGTTGATATTAAACATTTCAACTCCAGTGGCTTCTCATGTAAGAGCCATTTAGTTGTCTTTTAAAAACAAAAATGTGAAAAATAAAGTTGAATTTCCAGTTACAAAAATGTCCAAAGCATAAGCCCCATAAAAATCTACATGGAATAGCCTCTAGTACCTTACACAGGCTAGTAGCATGCCTGAGTTCCTTCCACGTTTGCTGATTTTTTCTTATGCCATGAAATGCTTTAATAGTGATTAAAATATTTAAATGTGTAACATTTGCTTTGATGAATTTAAATTCAGTTCCTTAAACACTGAAGATGAAATTTATATCCCTGCCAACATCTTGTGTAAACAAATTTTCCTCTGGATCTGTGGAAATTGTGTTCTGAGTTTCACATTTATAACGGAGATAGTTCAAAGACTCACTGTCTTTGGCTCTTGAAATGTCAGGAAAGAAATAGTTGGGCTGTGAGAGACTGTGTCAGGTTCTGGCTCCTATTACTGATAGTGAGGTGCATTTTCTGTTGGGTAAATTAGAAAACTTGAAAAGTCAAGCTGAAAATAATATCAGATCCTGAAGCACCCAGTGTTTTCCACACATCTATAGTGTACTCACCTTGGTGAGACTGAGAAACGGAACCATGCCTTCTGGGCATGACTGAACTATTTTATTCATGAACTCACAGAGGCTGTTACCTGCATAAAACCTGCACCAGAGTAAGATAGTCAGCATTCTAGCATAGAAGAGACAAAGGCTTCCTGAGCCCCCACCTCTGAATAAGGAGTTGTTGACACTTGATGGCTTCTGAGGCAAGCATGATAGTCAGTTTTCTTTAAGGATGTGTGGCTCCTTAATAGGTCCACCATACTTAGTGGATAGCCCCACACCCATGGATATGTTGGTTGTGCGATTTAGACTCGGTGGGTTATGAGAACCAAGTGATAACATGATGTTATGAGCGTGGGGAGGGTAAATATGGGAAGAGTTATTGGAGGAATAAGTAGCAAAAATGTTCAAAATTCATTGTAGGCATTTATACAAAATTATAATAAATCATCAATTAAAGTATTGTAGGTTCAAAATACCCTTTCTCTTTCAAGTTCCAACAAGCAACTATTCCTTTCTTCAAGATCACCTTAATCAAGAGTTCCTTGAAATGCCTTGGCCAGTTTTTGACCATGACTAATACCATTGAATTGTCCTTAAAAATAGTAAATTATTCTGATACCTCATGAACAATATTAAATTGATCTTCACAGATCTCATGAAGAACCCACCCCCCACACCCCACCTCCCATTTCCCCACACCACAGCCCCCCCACCCCTGACCTCCCACAACTCACCAGTCTCTCTCCCTGATGTGATTCTTGAGCCAGCATTCTGAGAAATGACATCAGCCTTAGATGATTCTCAGGAGGTTAGGGTTTCTCACACAACGTAGGGTATCCTCTACGTTCCTTGTCTTAAAGCAATATTGAAATATACAAGTTATCAGAAAATACAATCTGTTTTTATTGAGACTCTAAGTCATCCATCTAGTGATATGCTTCTGTCCTTTGTTACTGCTCTGCCTAGAGGGAGAAAAATCAAATTTTGCATTGTGAAACTGAACTCTATCTCTGGATTAGCAAAGAATTCAAAATATTTTCACTTGCTGTGGAATATCTAGGAGCAGATCTCTTATGGGCACTTCATAGAAAAGACAAGGTTCAGACAAATGTTGATAAATGTTTGAATCACTGAGAAATCTTATACACATTTACTAACTATGAAGTGCCAGAAATTAAAACAGAAGGAAAAGAAGAATTTTATGTGTGAAATTTAAAAAGATGGAAAACACATGTTTCAGTGAAAGTGTTCATCGAAGAAGATGGTGAGGTGTATCTTCCTTTGCTTGCCAACATGCCTTCTCCAGATTAATTCTCATTCAGAATCCCCTATTGTTTTTATGAAGCTTTTGATGGAAATGCAAAAGAAGTGCATATTCTTATCCTCAATAAGTAACAACATAATAGAAAAAAAAAACAGAAATTGGTGAAAATAGAACAGTTCTGTCTTCCATTAGGCCCTAAATATTTACAGCACCCACTGTGTCTAGTTGAAAAGTAAAGTTCCCATACATATAGCAATAATGAGAGCAAGAGAAAATGAAATCTAAAGCAGTCAAGTTTCCAGAATACATGCTACACTTGTTGGTATCTTTAAGCTTCTTATGCAAAAGGCTTAGCTGCCAGTTAATGGGCTTGTGAGTGATGGTTGGACAATGAGGATGGTAACTTTATCACTGATGAATTCATGTTCAGTTGGGTGGCTAGGAGGGGGTAGATAACTGTTGACCTGCATTCAAAACACATACAATGTGTCTGGCCACATTGCTTCTCTGCTTCCTGACTGCATGAAGGGCAGCATCCTTATCACTCCTCTTACCACATGCTCAGAAACAGTGGAAACAACAGACAGAATAGGAGGAAAAAAAAAGCTTAGAGATATAGAACTATAAACCCTAAAATACAAACTATAGAGTCCGATTATTCTAAACTGGCCATTTAGAGAATGGTGGAGCTTGTTAGAACAAGAGCTAACCCTTGACCAAATGCCTAACAAAAGCAGATAGGTGTTTGTGATAACACAGAAGCAACCAGTGAAAGGATACTATACAATATTAAATTTATCAACAGCTTCCAATCTAAAACAACAGGAAAGAAAAACCACACCAAAAATAGAATTAAGAAAATGGCCACATATCTATCTGACTTAAAGTCATTGTATCTCAATCATATTAAATATAAATGGTATAAATTAACCAATTAATAAAGATTAGTTCATCTAAATATTTGCTAACCATATATATGAAGACGTCACTACACTACAGCTAAGAGTGATGTTTAATGTTACTAACCTGACAGAATCTAGAATGACACTAGAGACAGATCTCTGTGAATCCTGTGGGAGATTATGTTGATTGTTTTAACTGAGGTGTAAGACTGGTCCATTGTAAGAAGCACTACAGCTTGGCTGATGGCTTGCACTGTTATGTGAGAAAGGGGACTAAGCAGGGTTATAGGTTCAGAACCTCCTGCTTCCTGGGTGTGTTTTCAATGTGACATATCCATAATTACTGTAGAAAATATCAATCTATTATCTTAATTATTGTTAGACTAAGTATTCACAAAGATCAGTAAGAATATAGAAAACCTGAATATCATTTTCAAGCAAGTTTCCCCACTTGGTGTTTATTCAATGGTCCACCCAAGAAAAATTGAAAGTACATTAAAATATTTACCAAGGAAGAAGAATTTTTATGGCATAAAACAAAACTCAATAGACATGACAGCTTTCATAAAATGTTCAAACATATATCTACCACATGGCACCACTACCTCAGTCTTACATATACACACACAGGAAATGGAAGAACCGTTTACAAGAGTTCATAAATGCTTATATTTTAATAGCCTCCAACAGGAAGCATCCAAAGCATTACCAACAGATGGATATAGATTTCATAACACACATAAAATTTTTTATCAAAAAATTAAGAAATATTAATATCAGCAAAAATGAATTAAAAGTCTAAAACCAGTGTTTCTCAACCTCCCTAATGCAGTGACACTTCAGTACAGTTCCTTATGTTGTAGTGATTCCCAATCATAAAGTTATTTTCATTGCTACTTTATAACTGTAATTTTACTGTTATGAATTGTGATATAAACATCTGATATGCGGGAGTTGAGAATCAATACCTATGGTGTATCATTTTAACCTGTATCACTTTCAAGAAGAATTATGTTTATTTTTGTGATAATGACCTGACAGCTATACATGTGTTAAAATATATACTCTTTAAGTATACATAGTTTAATGTCTACTAATTAAACCTTCAATAATGTTGTTATAATAAAACTTTCAATTTCCTGGTTTTCAGGAAAACATCGCTGAAACCCTAAGGACTCCAATGTGAAAAAAACATCATCAACAAGAACTAGGCACTTCTTCTAAAAGTATTTCCTCATTACTTGTCCAGAAAAAAGAAAAGCAATATAGGATTTTATCAAGGAACCCACAGTATTCCTTATGCTGTAAATCTCTAGTACCATCAAGTGTAGGGAATTTGTTCCTCAAAAGATTCCTTGGAGAGTCAAAGGAATGAGCTAGTTAGTGCTGAAAATGTTTATTTTAAAAAGTCTTTCTTTTTTATATTTTCTCTTCTAAAATATGGTATTCTTAGATCAAGTTTATAGGAACTGCATACTGATTAGGAACCTTGCCTTGTCATGCATTCCTGTAACTTTACTTTTTGTGGAAGTAGAATTAAAAGTGGTATTTCTTATATTTTAATGTATTTTCTCTTTTCCTTAGATTATTAATTTAATAAGGTTATTAATATTTCTTTTTTATCACTTAGGCAGCAAATGAGATTTTTTTCTAATGGGAAGATAATCAAGAAATAATGTCTTTAGAATAAATAAATTATATCCCTAGAATAAACAAAACATTTCATAATATGATTTTTTTAATCTTTCATCGGTCTTATATGCTTTGACTAGTTGCCAGTGACCTAGAGATTGTAGAGGTGGTTCAGTCAGGAGGACCTGAATTTGGATCCCAAATACCCACCAAGAAAAATCAGACACCCACCACCACCCAGGAGGGAATTAAAAGAACAAGTTATTCAGCAGCTTACAAGGTTTCTACCTGTGTTCTCTGTCAACAGGAGAAAACTAGAGGGGGAACATGGCTTTCTTCTTGCTTCTATTCACTCTCCTAAAAGCCATATCAATGTGGTGTCCATGTAACCAGATTTACATGAATTACATGCAGATTAGGGAGCTTGCATTTTTTGTTATGAATTCATTAATCCTAGTTCTGGGAAGTAGAGACAAGAGTATCCCTGGAGCTCACTGGCCAGATATTCTAATCAAAACAAAAACATGTAAATATAATAAAAAGACTTGGAAGGAGAATAGGCAGTTGGTAGGAGAAGGAGGTAGATACTTGAAGGCAGGAACAATCAGAATTCATCATATGTATGTATATAAACATCCAAGAACAAATTTGACAGTAAAAAAATATAGAATGTGACAAAGACACCCAACATAAACCTTCAGCACCCACATGCACATACATACACATATGTGCACGCATGCACATGACCAAATGCACATGCATATGACACAAAAATAGTCTTAAAAACTCACAGATGCAATAGCCTAGAAACAAGATTTTGTTTGATTTTTATCATATCATAGACCTTGAAGAGTTTCCCATTTTTTATATGAACAAGAAGAAATCCCATTGTGCAGCTAGAGGATGAAAATATGGGAAAGATGATAGAATGGGAAAGAGTTCCTGAATTCCCTTTGTTCGTTTTCACAGATGACAAATTCATTTAGGAAATAAAATGCAGTAAAATTAGGCTTACCAGTCACTTTTTCAGCACTCAACGTTTTGAAAATACTTCCTTTATCTTATATTATTTGCATTAGATTTTCTGTATAATCCATTCTTTGAGTAAAATGTTAATTTGTCAGTACGATATGTAAGACTGAAATAAAGTAACCTATACATAGTTGGGATGGATTGGTGAATGGATCAATGAATGGTAGGTAGGTGGATACTGGATAGATAGATAGATAGATACATGATAGATAGAGTAGGAACATACAAAATAGATATGTTTGTATCACGAACTAAAGTTTTTTTTAATAGAGTAGCCTAGATAACAACAAATTTATTCCTATATTATACTTTAATTCTTTAAAGCACTTAATTCCTTCTCAAACAACCAGACTACTTTGGGCATTAACCATATATCATTAACCAAGCAATCTAAACCAGTTTTCATAATTAAATATTAAATCCCAAAAGACCTACCTATGATTAATGATATGTTATCATTGATCTCCACACATAAAGTTTGCCATAAATATTGAAAAATATAAAAATAACACTGTGAGAAACTGACCTTAAGAATTATATTATAATTTTGTTTGTCATAGAAGAGAGGAAAAGGAAACATGTCCTTTTAGTCCATACAATAGAGCTTGTGTTCCAGACCATTAAAGCCACTACTTTAATTACTAACTGAATTTTATGTTTATTAGTTTACTCTAACAATTAACATTTATTTTCTAAGGTTATAAGATATCAAATGCCATTTTGATAATTTCTAGATTTCATAGATTTAGTTTTTCAACATAGCGTCTCTGGGAGACTTGATAATTTAATTTGGTATGTTGCAAATATTATTTGAGAATTTGAGAAGATGCATTAATTTGATAAACCAAAGGTCTTGATATATCATATGTCCCTATGTGCCCTGCTGACCTTTAGAAGATACATGCCATTTTTTTTGGTGTCTTATCTGATCTCAAAAATAAATGAACAGAAAGCAAAAAGCCCTTTCACTCTAATTCTCAAGGTGACATTTAAGACTGACATCCTGCTAGCAGAAGAAGATCT